CCCTCCCAACACATCAAACCCCACCACCACCACAGCTCAAGCCTCATGCTTTCACAAGTCCACGCTTTAATGTGATGTCTCCCTTAGCCTCATCTCCCAATCCACCCTATTTTCCAGCTGCACAGGGCCAGAAGCTGCCCTTGAATTTCCAGATCCACATGGAGTTATCCCTCTTAAAGTCCAGTGGAAAGGCCTTTTCCAGCACAGGTCTCCATGCTTACTCCTTTCTCCAAGTTCACACAGTACATGTCCTGCACTCCTCTCAACAGCATCAGACTTTGGGTTTGTGTGCCTGGTGGCAGTACAGGATGGCCCTGAACATGCGAAGCATAACTGGCCAAGGGTCCCAGCCACTAGCTTTTGAAATCCATCCTAGTTTGCAACCCAGCCATCTCTCAAGTGATGCTCCCATTCAGTAACTGAGTGTGGCAAGGATACTGAGGATATACCCCTCCTTAGGGGGCATGGGACTCCTCTTTCAGCCCAATTCGGCTTGAGGCAAGCTTCACCGAATCTTGCTTAGATTCCCCAGTAGCCTTGGATGCTTCTACCTAACATTCTCCTCTTCCATTTCAGAGTTCCTTATTTTCTCTAACATAGGCACTTCCCCTACACAAAATGCTTAGTCACACAATCCCGTCTTGTCACCCCTTCTTGGAGGACCAAAACTAACAGAATATTCACATAAGAGATGTAAGAAATTCTCCCTGATAGAGTACTTGATGGAGTATTTGAATAACTGAGAGGTCCTTATGAATTTTATACATAGTGCTTGACACACCACAGAATGGTTATGAGAAACTTCAAATAAGTACACAGCACCACTGCAAGTTACTGTAGGAGAACACCGTAGAAGCCAGATGCAGGGTCTGGTTTTAGGACATCTGGAAACAGTTTCTTTCAACCAAGACGACTGCATTGCTTCAAATCCCACCAAGAAATAGTGAAGCTAACAGTCTAGGCAGTCAGGTTAGTCCCCGAGGGCCTTGGGAAGAAGGGAACCCACTGGGTAATAGAGGACTGGTCGTCCCAGGGGCTGTTAGGAAAAGCCTGGATGTAATTTACATGTGCCATCCTGACGAGTATACACCAAAAGTTCAGCTTAGTAAATACTGATCTCTACTTTGGCAAGGGTGCTAACATTATGAGAAGATAGAGAATAGGACCATAAGAGCAAGGCTTAGAGTTGAAAATAGGAGTATTAAGGCCTGGTAACTGTACATTCTGTGACAGTTCATCAATGGACTAAATAAGTTACAGAAAAGCACAAGTGACACACACATGAAAAAGACTTCTGGCAGACCCTGTGCTCCTGATTCTTGGGTCCCAAACAGTTAAAACTAAAGAGCACCTGGATGGCTCGCTCAGTTGAGCGTCTCTTGATTTTGCCTCAGGTTATTTTCCCAGGATCATGGGATCAAGCCTGCAGTCGAGCTCCATGGGGAGTGCAGAGCCTGCTTGGGAACCTGTCTCTGCCCCTCCCCTGCTCGTACCCTCCCTCTCAAAATAAAAAAAAGCCACTAAGTACTAGCTCAGGCTCAGAGATTTAGTGAAAGACATAAATATGAAGACTTCTGAATAATGGGGAAAAAATTAACCACATACGAATTAAAGTTCGCCTGTTTGGGGTTAATCCAACACTAGCAGTCCACTAAATGGGATTCATGCTGAGGTGTCAATTTTTTGTAAGCAGCTCCATATAGAGAGATATTTTGGAAACACTTTGGTTTTCATCTCCTTCCTCAATAGTCACCATAGAAAGGGTAGAGGCTACCTCAATTAAGAAGATGGAAGGAGAACCAGTCAACTAAACAAGATGTGGAAGGGAACTCCGCAGATTTCTTCACCCAGGAGGGTGACTGGAGGCCAAAGAAACAGATGGAAAGATGTGCATGTGCCAACTTCTCCACGGAGGACGAAGATCCTAGAGACAAAGGCATGTTAGTTTAAGGGGACTGCCAAAAGTAGAGTTTCAGCAGGTTAAGCAGGATTCAGGGAAGAGACCCACCAAAAGGGATCCCTCCTCCTCCACACGCCCTTCACAAAGTTAGGGATGTAGCAGAATTTAGCAAAGGGAAGAACTAAGTCTGCCTTGAATTTCAAATACCATGGAGGACTTCAGACCCTTAGAGGAGTCTGGAAGATCAACAGCATCACCAAACCACGTTACATAGGGAAGGTACAGCAGCAGAAGCAAAGTGATAAGAGCTGCACAATGCAGTAGTCAGACACAGAATGAGGGCTACAGCCACAGCTCACAGGGATGCATAGCAGCAGTGAGAGCCCAGGAGGGGAGTCCATTAGACTTGACTGAGCAGAGGCAGCCCCAAGTTCTCAGATCTCGAATTACACTGATGGTTCAAGAGGCAAAACAACTAAGGCACAGAGGAACTAGAAGTCCATCTCTCCACCTTCCTCCCAAACAATGATCTCAGAACGAACACTTTAAGGCCCTGTACGGGGTCCATTTCTGTCAGTCCACGTATGTTTGAGTCTAGCAATGTAAACACAATACACATTAGCAATGAAGTGAGGAAATCAGATACGCAATGTAAACACAATACACATTAGCAATGAAGTGAGGAAATCAGATACGCCATTTACAATTAAAAGCAAACTTAAAACAAAAAAAAACAAACTAGGAAAAGAACTGAAGACTAGCTCTAACAACAATCCTTCAGTAAATTTCAACCTTAGTGGTTAACGGACAAGTCAAAGCTAGATCGCAGTCACATGCAAAGAGCAGTCAGGAAGCAAGGAGGAGCAGGGCCAGAAGATTAGTATTAATTTCACAGGCGTTGGATCAAGGTTGGTCTTCAAACAATCCAACTGGTCCAGGTTACGGGTACCACAATTTTATTCAAGTCTAAAGACTCATCTGAGACTATGAAGAACTGGTTATAGTGACAAGTGGACTATGGAACCTACCAGGAGTTCAGTTATTTGACACCATTAACCTAAAGGAAGTTAACGATGGAGTTGGGGTAGGAAGATCTACGGGTAGTACGTATATGGCTAATATAGGCTCCAGTGGAAATACCAAAAACCGACAAATGTCACTTCTCTTAGTAACTTGGACTTTTAGTAATTGGATCATGACCAATTAAAAGATTCTTAGCTGATATTTGCTCCATCACTCGAAGTTCTTGCTCCACCATGACTGATGTCCTCAATGTAGCCTTATAAAAATTAAAACACTTACACAAGTATACAGTTTTTAAAAAGTTAAAGTGAGAATATCAATACATTTTCAAAAGCAAAGTAAATATACATAAGTCAGAACTTAGACAACTATATCCAAATTGGCATAGTTACAGGCGAGGATAACTCTAGTCAAGACCTAAAAACATTTCCAACTGTTTGATTTCAAAAAGGGGAAATTGTAGAATAATTTGAACTACACCAGCATTATGAATCAACATGAACAGAAACATCACTCCTAATAATGTTTCCCATCTGGAATGTTTTTCCATGCCCTGAAATACTAAATCAAGAAAACATTAACCATGACAAATTGTGGTAGTAAATCTAGAATTTTCCAGACCAGTTACACATTGAGAGGTTCTAGGAATATTTTTCTTTCCTTTGATATATAGGTGGCTGTGTAAATATTACTGTGTTTCTGCCATTCTGATGTTTCAAGCTTTCTATTTAGATACACCAGAAAAGGAAATTGTTCAAGACGTTCCATGTAAACACAGGCCAAAGTAACATGAAAAAGAGCAAGTAGATCTTCCAAAATTTACTTAGTCAAGACCAATACTCACACCCAGGAAGACATCTTAGGTCAATTAACCTGAGAGGAAGCATTACATGTGAATGCTAGAATCCAGTAACTAAATTCCTAGTTGCTTCTTCTTGAACTTGTCTTTCATCAGAGTTAATGAAGTCGGTTTATTTTAACAAAACCATGGAAACCTGGAGTTTCAAAAACTTGGACAGGAAAGTGTTCGACCTATTTTCACTAACCCCGGATAATTCATTTTGATCATAGGTAGAACCACCGACATTGTGACTTTGTTACCAATAAAAGGATACCTTTGTATCCGTTATGGAGCTATCCAGTTTATACTTCTTGCCACTACAGTAGTGAATAGACCCCGCCCCAATAAGATTGCTGGGTTGATGAAGTATTTCTTATGAAACCATAAATTGTATTTGTAACATTTTGACTACTGTTAGGAATTAAAAAGGAAGCTAATTAACGTTTTACACATTTAAAGTTATGCTCAGAAAAGGTCCTGCTGAAGAAGTTCATCGTTGGGAATGGAGGGGTTAGGGCCTCTGCCTTCAAGGGAGAGGAACACAAAGAACCCATTATTTTTATTTCCTCCCTCCACAATAAGGTTTTTTTCTTTTACACAAAAATCTTACTCCCGTCACTCTAATGATCATTTCTCATTTACTGGCACCAGGTCTCTGTAGATACCCTATCAGATATGGTGCAATTTAGACACCGGCAGATTCAGCCTCTATGGCCACCCCCATACTAACAAAAAAACAAACAAACAAACAAACAAACAAAAAAAGCTAACTTTTCGAGTTCTTTTCATTTTACATATATTCATTTTCATTTCCTTCTAATTTCAAGGAGATTTAAGTAAATTCAGGGGAGTCAGCTTCAGTAAGTAGTCCGGAGTTCGTGTCTGAGTGGTATCACCTGCCCTGTTGGAAGAGACATTTCACATGTGGCACAGGCCCCATAGGTCCACTCCCTGACTCACTAGCTCAGCATCTGACACTTCAGGAGTCGCCCACCTTTGCGGAAAGGGTCAGTTTTTGCCCAGCAGGTAGAGACTACAGATCTTCCAAATGCCTCTCCCCCATGGCAGGAAGGGGTGGCCTCAGCTAGGGTTCATCTGGGTGTTAATCCCTCTGCTAACCCACTCTGACCTCTCAGGTCGCCATGGATTCGGGGAAAACCCAATGACGACTGACTCTCTGAACACAGCCCTTACCTAGGTCCCCAGAGAAATACCAAGGGGCCAGAGGGCACTTACCAGGCCTCCACAGAGGCTGAAGACCGCCGTGTGATCCGCCCGAGCATTGACCTGGCCTCGATAGAAGCAGTGGCGTAGATCTGGGGCCACCACGCTGCGCTCCTCGGCCCCGCGCGCAGGGGCTCCCAGGTGCACCTCGGTGTAGCCAGCGGCCAGGAAGGCCGCGTCCGCGCTCAGGTTCAGCTGGAAGAGCTGCCCGTAGGCGCTGATTCGGTAGTGGGTCCTGAATGGCGGGGGCTCCAGGGCCTCCGAGCTGCGCTTCCTCCGGCTGAAGTGGTGGCTCTGAGGGAACACTTCGCCAAACTCATTGACCCGCGCGGGGGTCACCACTTCGTAGGAGGCCAGCGTCCTTACCAGGGCTTCTACAACCACAGAAATATGGCCCCTGAGCCCCCGCGCGTTACCAACGTCCCAACCCCAGACTTGAACCAAACGCCCCAGATCCGGATACACCAGGGGCACGACAAATGCACACACGCTGGCGAGCGCGCGCGCACACACGAACACACGTGCTCCGCTTTCCCACACCCCCGACTCGCTCCAACCTTCCCAAGCAAAGACCCTGACACGCCCGGCCCTGCACAACCCACTCCTTCTCCCATCCCTCTTTGCTTCCCAACAGCCCACTGGTGCCCTGCGGGCGCACGCGCCTCTCTGCCCCCAAGCGCCCCCACCGCGTGGACCCGGGAGGGACACGGTGCCCGGCGCGCACAATTCCTCGAAACCCGGGGCAGCCGCAACCTCTCAGGATGCTTGGGGCTGGCTGATCCGGGAGTCCCGCGAGCCCCTGCAGGACCACGATCCTCACAACGGGGCTGGGCCACCCACCCCCCCTCGCCCCCACCCCGCTGCTGAAGGCGCCCGGCGGTGACCTTACCTTGCCTGGGGTGCAAGTGAATTTCCCAAGATCTGGTGATGAACAGCGAGAGCTGGTAGAGCAGCCCCGTCAGCCACTTGGCCACCCGCATGGTTCCACCCGGGGGATCCCAACCGGGGAGGCCAACCCGAGCCGCCGGCTGCCCAGCCCGGCTTCCCCGCGCTCCGCAGCCTCTCCTCCCTCTCGCCCGCCGTGCTCTGCGCCGGCCGCAGCGGCGCCTTCAGCAGCCTCCGGAGCAGCAGTCCCGGCCCCGGGCCGGACCGTCTCGCCACACCGCCAGCCTCCGCTCCCTGAGCCGCTGCTTCATCGCACTGCAGCCCCACAGCTCCCGGCTCGCTCTCGGCAGCCTCGCTCCGCTCCCTGAGCCCGCACTGCCCTCAGACGCCTTCTCCCTGGGTCCAGATCCACGCGAGGAAGCGAGCCGACCTAGCAGGAACGGTGCCAATATAGCCACCCCGGGCCGGGCGAACGCGGGGGAGAGCCCGCCTCCACGGGCAGGGCCGGGCCAATCAGCAGGAGGCGCGGCCGGTGCTCTCCCTCCCGCGTGCAGCCCGCCCCCACCTCCCAGCCGCGCCCGGAGTGCGGTCCCAGGGGGCTCCGGCGCCGGTAGGGCAACATGGTGTGGAGCCCGAGGGCCAGCTGGACAACGTCCCGGTACCTGTAACACCCAACACCGATGCAAGCTGTGCGGCCGAGGTCCAGAAAGGTGATAGGTGTGTGAGGGTTTTTAGTTCTTACAGTGAAATGAAAAGCATCAGTTGGAAAATTTCTGTTATTTAGGTTTCAGGGTAATTTTAGGCTTCTCAAGCAAGACAAAATAAGCTACAGCGGGAAGTTCCTGAAGGCAAGGGATTCTTCCAATGAAGCTTAATGACCTGCCTTGATTGGCAAGGGCCCCTGTGTGCTCTGGGAATTTAAGAGCATTGTAGGTGCAAAGGGGAAGGCGAGGTTGCAATCAGCAAGCACTGCTGGGTGTGAATTTCTGGGAGTTGTCTAAGGAAATGCTAAATGAATCGCTCAGTCTCCACAGTTCCCGTAGTTGTCATTTTTTTCTTTTAATATTGATTTTTGTACTTAATTTTGTATAAAGAGCTCCTCAAATTATAGAAGCGTCAAGCCCCACAAAACTCGTATCTGCCCCTGCCATTGTAGCTGCCTGTCATTTTATGAGACTTCCTGCTGGTAGTTTCACAATATTAATTGGCCCTCCCTGTATGATACCCAAATGACCCCATGTATCCCTACTCATTTTCCTCAACCATTACTGTAGTAGTGGATCCAGGTGTGTTGCCTCGTGTCTCAAATTCTATAAACCTCAGCAGCAGCAGCAGAAAGAATTGTCATTTCAGAACTACTCTCTCATTTCTCAAATCCACCTGTTTGATCTGCAGATTTCTTTATTGCTTCTTGCTGTAACCAGTATGAAAACGAAAGAGGAGGAAGTCGTCAGATTGTCTTGAAATCCAACCAAGGGGGAGAAAGAATGTGAGAGAAAAAGGGAAGGAATATATGGGTACATCTTCCCAAACACAAAGGAATATCCTTTCAGTTTAATTCCTGGCCGCCCTTCTTCCCTGAGCTCTCAACAACAAAAATTCTGTTGACTTTGAATTGACCTCTCCTGGCATGCCTCCTTACTTTTATATCATACACTTGGTCCATCTGTTGTTCACCGCTAATGTGAGCCAATCTTGTTTGAGGAAGGAGAGTTTAATTTTACTTTTACCAAGGAAAATACCCAGCTGGGTGATGGTAATTCTTACACAATCAATCCCCTTTCTTTTGTGCCTCTTCCTCCCAAATGTCATTTCATTCATCACAGAGTTACAGACATCTAATTTTTCCCCCTTAAGTTAAGCACACTGTTACTCTAAACAAAACAAACCCACCTGTCCTATTACCCACACCTGTCTATTTAGAGGTTACCTTCAGTACATTGTAATTTAGAGTCATTTTAATTACATTGCAGTTCTAAATGTATCTTTACATCAGGAGCCATGCCTTCCCTCATACAATAACAGAAAATAGAACTGCACCTGTTTCATTGGCTATCTGCTAATAAAGGCAAAATAAATATTTCATTTCCATCACTGAATTTTTGCCACTCAAAGTAGTTTTCTCAGTGGAGTATGTGATTTTCAGCCTGTTCTAATGTTTTGGAAATGTTATTTTAAGAATAGGCCTATTTTATCTTTTATTAAAGAAATGGGAAGTTGTTTGGGATGTTTATTCTATGCTATTATAATCTTTACCATATTCAGTAAAGAGCATTGTTTCCCACATCTTCTAGAACATAAATGTTACATTTCCATTCAGTATCTATGTAACTAAGCTGAGTTTCCTTAAATCCTTTCTGGCTTCAATGCCTTCTCATTATATTAGGCTCAACTGTTACGATATTCACATTGTCTCTCTTCCTTTCTCTGTCTCTGCCAATGAAAATGCCATGAGTAAACTAATCTATGCCATTTCAATCAATTTCCTCATATTGATCATTACAGCTACCACTTAGGGAATTGCTCTGACATAAGCCTTATACAAGGGACTTTAGAAAAATTACCTCATTTAATTTATGCATTCTCCCCATGGAATTCAGAACTTACCCAGATCACATATCAAGTTAGACTCAAATATCTTTGGTTTCAAATTCCATACTTTTTATAAGAAAATTGTACTCTTTATACCAGCTCCAATCTGATGTAGTACAGTTGTAACAAACAACAACTCAGAAAATGAAAGCCATAGTTATATTACATGTAATTGTATTTGATTCATAATTTTGACAATCATCATTATAACTATAAGCTATGTTATGAGGTTGGCACAGTGTAGAGAAAATATTTTCAATCTTCCAAAGCAGGAATAGGCTCACTATACTCAAGATAGACTTTGTTTTTATAGTCCTAATTCCACCATAACCAGCTGTTTAAAGTTCAACAATTTACCGAAACTCTATAAGCCAATTGTATTGGACAAAATGTGCTCAATGCATGTTCATGTGGATTACGATTTTTATTACAATATAATATGAGACTGATGTTCGTACCGAAAGGAACAACTGTTTGAATAGAGACTGCTTTTCTAATATTAGTAGGTAGGAAGTAGGGTGATCAATCTTTACAGTGTAACTGAGACTAGGGAGTTTCCTGAGATGCAAGACTTTCGGTGCTAAAACTTGGGGAGTCCTGGGCAAACTGGGATGAAATGGTCATTAAGTTCAGGATTTCTCAACTGAGGCAGTATTGACTTTGGGGGCCAGGCGAGTCTTTGTTATAGGGGGAGGGGAGCTGCCCTACTTGATATAGAATGTTTAGCATTCTATATCACCCCTATTGTGACAACCAAAAATATTTCCGGACATTGTCACCCCACCCCTATTGTGACAACCAAAAATATTTCCGGACATTGGCAAATGTCCCCTGGGAGCAAAACTGGCCCTAGTTGAGAACCACTGGCCTAACGGGGGGATAAAATTGGAAAATGATAAATGCGAAGAAGTGGGTTTGGCAGGAGACCCCACAGATGCCGCTCCATTCTTAATTACAAATGGCCAATTGTAAGTAGAAACATTATATTGTAGCAGGTGTGGGAGATTATCCATCATTCTAGTTAAAACAGTACAAGCTATGGTCATTGTGTTAATTCTTAAAGCACTGTTATTTCCAGGTGTGCAGAGAATCGATCTCTTCCGCCCAAGCAATTATTACACTCTGTTCAGATTGTAAGGGTTATGTGGGGAGGGGACTATCAACAGGCTCTTTGAGGCAGTATCCCCAGCACCAAATGTTGTGTCCTCTTAGAATAGAAAAAAAAATAAATATTCATTATATAAACAAATAGTAATATTAACATTTAATAACCTGGAAGAGTAGGCAAATTACCAATCTTACCATTTGCTTTTAATGAGGATATTTACACCACTTAAATTTAATATAATACTTAATATATTTATATTCAAGTCCATCATCTTGTTTTCTATTTGTCCTACTCTTTTTTATTTTCTGCCTTCTTTTGGATTAACTAAATGGATTAACTATCATCCCATTCAATCTGTGTTAGCTATAACTTTTTCCTTACTTAGGCAGTTACCCTAGAATTTATAGTCTACATCTTTAATATATCTCTGACTGGCTTCAAGTATAGTATGCAAATTCAATTTCATCCCTCCCAACCTTTGTGCTGTTGCTATCATCATACATTCAACTTTTGCATATGTTGCAATTCCCACTTTGCATTCATGCTATTTTTATTTAAACAGCTATTTCATCTGCTATCATTTTTGTTCTGTCTGAAAGACTTTCTTTAACGTTTCTGATAGCACACACTCTACTTGTGATGAGTTCTTTTTTTTCAAGTTTTTTTTTTTTAAGTTTATTTATTTTTGACAAAGACAGAGTGTGAGCCTGAGCTGGGGAGGGGCAGAGAGAGAGAGAGAGAGAGAGAGACACAGAATCCGAAGGAGGCTCCAGGCTCCAGGCTCCAAACTGTCAGCACAGAGCGCGACGCGGGGCTCGAACTCACAAACCGAGATCATGACCTCGGCCGAACTCAGACGCTTAACCAACTGAGCCACCCAGGCGCCTCTCAAGTTTATTTTTGAGGCCTGTTTTTTCCCGGGTATAGAATTCTAGGTTGGGAGGATTTGCCCCCCACCCCTTTTATTTCTCAAAAGCTGTTGATCAATTGTCTTCTTGCATTTTTTAATAACAAAAAAAAAGTCCTTATCCTCCATACATCAGGTATCTTTTTGTTGTATATGCTTTTAAGATTTTCTTCTGTATTGCTAGTTTCATTCAATTTATTTACAGTGTACCTCGATGTGATTTTTTTTCATGTTTCTTAGGCTTGGAGTCCATTGAGTTTTGGGAGACTATGAGTTTATTATTTTCATCAAATTTGTAAAATCTGTGGTTGTTACTTTGTCAAATATAATTTTTTGTTCCCTCTCTCTCTGTTCCTTCAAGGACTGCAGTTATGCATATATGAGAATGCACACAGTTGTCCCACAGCTCTCTGAAGCTCTGTCTGTTCTAAATTTTCCTCACTTCTGTGTTTCAAATGGATAATTTTTATTACTGTCTTCAAATTCAC